GAGACTGGACACTGATGCTATTCAGCAGTAGTGTGGGAATTTTCAGAGGCAGGAAACCTTAAGAAACCTCATTCATATAGTTTTATTAGATTTGGTTCGACGGCATATTAACTGGACTATGTGCTGACCGCCTAAGTCTGGAACTGGGTCGTTAAGTGGGAATTACGTCATTTTGAAATGATGAGGGAAATGCTCACATTGGCTTTGACGCCGTCCTGGACGTCTGGGACACGTGGCATAGCGTCGTAAAGGGAGGACACATAGGTGATGATGGACTTCTCATCAGGATGAGGCACATCCACATCTGCAACAGAAAGAATTGCAGTTTAATAAGCATTCGTTTTTTGTTCACTGTGTTTAAATGAAAACATATGATTGTTTGTGTGTCATTTGTTTAAGCAGATTTCAATCAAACTATTTCGATTTTCGTCGGCATGAAACTGTGATCATCTTTTCTTCTCCATTATGATGCATATCCAAGTGAAATAGCATCTTGAATGGGTAAAAAAAAACAAAAAAAAAAACAACAACAACATATTTCGTCCATCAGGAACTGATTGGTTTAGTTAGATTGTTTTCGTTTGCTTATTTCTGTGATCTGAAGTTCTGAAGTTAATGTTTTTAATTAAAGATTACAAGTAATGATGTGCACGAATAAATCATTTATAATAAACACTGTAGTGTTAATGTAAAGGCACATATTTTTGACGCTTTTCAAATGTCAAAGGTCATGGGATCCAAAACTCAATGAAAGATCAACCTACGGTGTTGTGGGACTGAACTAATACATTCAATCAGGATTTAGCTTCAACACTGGATGTTAATATCGAATAACTTTCTTCAAAATCAGCTTATAGTATTTATAGTATAGTATAGCTTTAACATTACTAATTGTTAAGTATTTATAGTATAGTATTAACATTACCCTCTGGGTCAAGCAGTCGTGTGACCCCAAGTTCGTGCTCTGCCACTGAAAAAGCCTGTTCCAGGTTCTCCAGGTTGGACTGGCGGTACACCTTCCCCATGTCGATAAACCTGGGCCTGGTGAAATCAAGAGTAACAAAAGTGAGTGTGTAAGAAATGCAGCATCAAACGTTTAAATCACTGGAACACTCAAGAAGAAATGAATTGCAAATGCAATCTAATGCATAAAAATTTTTAACTTTTACAATAAGGTCTCATTATGTAAGATTAGTTAATGCATTAACTAACATCAACTAACAATGAGCGATACATTTGTTACAGTATTAATTCATCTTTGTTAACTTTGCTCCATTATTAGTTCATGATGGCTCAGGTAGATACAACTTTTTATTTTAATAATGCATGTTTAAATGTTGAAATTAACAAAGATTAATAAATGCTTCAGAAGTATTTTTCATTGTTAGTTCATGTTAACAAATGAAACCTTACTGTATAATGTTACCAAAAAATATATAATGAAATCACAATGACAACATTTTAAATCATTGGAGTTAGTGAATTTGAATACTGCAGAATAAAATAAGTATACTAGTTGCTTAATAGTAGAGGGACATAATGAGTTCAGAGACGCAGGTAAAGTGGCCACCTGCTCCATAAATCCC